ACACCATCTGTGATTATTTGCTCACATGTCTGTTTTTCCTACAAAGCTGGGATCTGCTTTGAATTCTCTCATGCAGCATCTGCACGTAAAAGCTACTCAGTAATTGCTTGGGAGTGAAGAATGAATATTCCCTTGCAATTATATAATGGATTTAGAACATGGAGGATTGCCATGTATTTAGGGGATAGGCATGCTCTGATAACCTTTCAGAACTCTGTGCTAGCATACAAGGAAATTCAAAGGCAAAGCTGACACTGACTGTTTTCTGTGGACGTTTATAGACAACAAAAGAAAAGGAAAACACATATAAATAAGCATTAGCAACAAAGCTGTCAGTATGAACGAATGCGAGAAGAGTGGGTAGAATTGCCCCCAGTAAAGATACGGACCATTACAGCCCAGTCCATCGATGTTTAATATTTTTTGGAGATGAGTTGGAGCCTTGTTTTTAAAGGAGTGATAGAAAAGAAGAAAACTTTGCAAATCTGAGGTGTGGCACATGCAAATTTACAGAAGCAGAAAGACTCATTCTCTGCAAGCACTGTAAAACTAAAACACAAACAGGAGAGAGTTGTTGGGAACAAATGTAAAGTGACAGGAGTGAAATGGGGGAACGGTTTGCTGGAGAACCTTGAAGGCACAGTGGAGAAACACAGATTTGATGTGATGGGCTATAGAGAGCCTCTCTTAGTTTGAGTGAGGGGTAAGTTTAGGAAAACACTGGTGTTTGCTTATGGCAAATCTTGGAATTTGATGCGTTTTCTGAAAAAATGAAAGTCGTTAAGAGTATGTATTGTGTAATTATAGATAGACAATTTATAGCAAGAGTTAGTTTCTAATCTAATCCAATTAGAATGCTAAAATTAACCAAAGACAGAAACCACAGACTGCATTAGCTCCCTGTGGAATAAATTTCCTTATTAATGCTGCATTGTTAAACATACTTTGTATATAAACCTATCTCTGAGCTAACATAAAAATCTAATATTGATTGCTAGAAGAGCAGTTCAATGTTCCATACACACTATTCATCTGAAATACAGACATATATGAAGATCAGAACTGTAAGCCCTCTTCCTGCTTCAAGATAGATTTAGTTAATTACGATATATCTAAAATCTACACACAGAGGATTGGGGGGACAGGAGATGAGGATACAAAATAAAATATCTTAATGTGTGTATTCCAAAGCCATAGTTATTATACAAGCATTATGCATTTCCCACACATCTTTTTTACATTGCTCATGAAGAATTCACACTTTATGTGACACTGAATCCAACAAAAAGATAACCATTATAGAGAAGCATTTCTCTTTTCAATTATGTTTCTTAAATCTCAAATAATATCAAGGGTTATCCCTCTTTGATAAAATGACTGACATCAGCAGCTGAGGGATTTAAGGTTCCTAGAACTTTTCACCTTTGCTAACTGAATAATCTCCTATATAGTAACCTCTTAATCTACCTTTTATCTCTTCAGGGCTTGCCTTGGTCCCAAATTGTTACTAACATTCTATTTTTATTTCCAGGGATTTCCTGACTGTTTCTTTTAGGTCAGAGAATAGGTTTCTCCCTGTGATAGGTAACAAAATAACACTCCAGCTTGAGTTACTCTTTACTTGAAATACAACATGAAGAACAATGATGAATTAAGGGAATGATTTTTTTTCCCCCTCAACCAAAATACAAGAATGGGAAAGATACACTTTGGTTTCCTGGAGATTACAGGAAAAGGAATGTCTTGGCCTAACTTATCCAAATTGCTACAGATTTTCACCTCACCTGGCAATACATATATTTTCAGGATAGCATCAGAGAGCTCTATTTTTTTGCATCTGAAAGCCACTGATCTTATAAAATTGCCTTGTGAAAATAACTTCTCTCCTGATTCTTTAATACCACGTGTTTCATAAATTAGTTGGCCTAATCACCTCTTTCCTTCTACATTAGCCACTACATTCAACTTTAGTAATGACAGTAACATAAGGACAAAATTTTAAAGTTTCTGTATTTCATTCACAATATTTCTCTAATTTATTTGGCTTTGGCACTTCTTGTTGTTTTTCAGTTGAACTAATTCAGACCGAAAAAAAAAAAAAAGTATCATTGAAGATATTGAAGATGGAAGCAGTTTCCTATAGAAGGCAGCCACTTTCCTTGGGAATGATTCATTTAGAACAGTGGCAGCTTCCAGACTTCACACATTACTTCCCCAAATTTGCTGAATTTAGCATTAGCCAGCTTGGTACTAAAACACTCAGAACTCAAAGACATGTGGGTGAACTCACATCTTCCTCTGCGGTCTTATTCCAAATGTTCACAGAGCAAAGTCTTCTGGCTTATTTGTTGTATTTTCTACAAGTAAACACATCCTGGTGGGCATTTGTAAAACTCAGGTAGAGATTTGCCAGTTTGGAACCATTCAAGTTCCTCTGTGCTTTCTGTGTGAATCATATAGGTGATGAAATAATGAATTTGCATTAAATTCTGGATTAATTATTACAGTTTCTTCCCTATTTAACAAGATTACTAGCAGACATTAAATATCCATGATATATGTGATTTTACACAGGGATATCATATAAACAAGAAAACATTCTTCACTTAAATGAGCTCGTGGTTCATTTATCATCAAGGTCATTTATTTATAAGTAAGATCTTGCCAACTCACGACTCTAGCTTCAGTGGGTTTGGTTACCAAATTTCTGTGAGTGCATATTAAATTGCATTTTATAGTAATGATGGCAGTGAGCCGATGATCCTGAATTATATCATGGCATCTTTGAAAAACCATCATGTTACACAGATCTAGGTGACTGTAACTGCTTCCAGGAACCAAAGGGCAACAGTGTAAGGAGTGTCCCCTTCTATGACCGCATGGCCTGCCACTTTATCTGATAGGATACCATCTGTTCATCCTGCTGCCATTCTCTAGGGTAATTGGGTTAAAACTACAAGACATTGAAAAATAGTCACATTGCCCACTATATTTTTAATTGCCTGGCTATTTATATCAATAACTTTTCTTTTTACAGACTATTTAAAAAAAAATTGTGACCATGTTTTAAGAGGTTAATGTTCAACTCTTACATTGCATAGACACAATCTTTGTTAAGAAAAGCTTCCTATAGTTTCTAAATATGGTGGAATATATATAATATTAAGAGTGTATTAAGAGCAGCAGAGGGGCGCCTGGGTGGCTCAGTGGGTTAAAGCCTCTACCTTCTTCGGCTCAGGTCATAATCCCAGGGTCCTGGGATCGAGCCCCACATCGGGCTCTCTGCTCAGCAGGGAGCCTGCTTCCTCCTGTCTCTCTCTGCCTGCCTCTCTGCCTACTTGTAATCTCTGTCAAATAAATAAATAAATCTTTAAAAAAAAAAAAAAGAGCAGCGGAGCGTATCTTATAGTGAGAAGCTATATAGTTCTGTGGTTAGGAGCATTTGGTCTGAAGTCATATCGCCAAGGTTAGAATCCTAGCTCCAGTTTTTACTAACTCTGTCAATCTGGGCAAGCTACCAGAATTATTAGGAAAATGAATGAATCATGTAAGGAATAGAATATATTATTTGACACATAATAAGCCCTCAATAAATATTAACTATTATTATCAATAATCACCTTGGCTTGATATTAATCTCAAAGCAGTATAATAAAGTTTAAGAACCAAACATTTATTACATTTTAGGTCGAATGTGCTCTATAGACATATTACAAAATGAATCGAATCTCTCAAATGTGCTTCATTCGATTTTGAATATAATCCATATCCATATTTTAAGAATGATCCATTTTTATGCCTTTCAGCAGTATCTTACGCAGTGTTTTATTATTGCATGTCATTTCCTGAAATCCTGTGAACTAAAATGTCATTGACAAGCACACACAAAACCCTGCTAGAGTCTCACAGAAAGCAGAGCTAATGTTCTGAGCTAAGAAGTTCCATTTTAGAACTTGTTTAAACCTAAATTCTAAAACATAATTCTTCCTAAAAATGTTAAAAAGCATTTCTGCAGTGGGTAAAGCAATAATTAATCTATTGCCAGTATATTGTTTTCATTAGTCCAGGTCTGACACTATAAGCCTCTTTGATCCTCATTTTTATGCAACAATAAAATTCAGGTTATAATTAACTTAAAAAAGTAGACTTAGAAGGAAAATAAATCAAAAAGGTTATGAAGCAGTCTCTGGAATTAGGGACATAAACTCCTTTGCTCAGTGATGGTACATTTAATTCAGATCTTTCGAAACTCCAGTTGGCTGAGCCCTTTCAGGTCCTACCAACACTGTAAGAACAACAGATGCCCTCTTCAGCAAAATATTGGCCAGATTCATTATATTTATTCATTGCACTATTTGTGTTTTCTATGTAATAATTTCCCTCCTGAGTATGCTATTTTTCAGTGTTTTGAAATGAATTAATAGGGAGAAATTACAAGAAATAATTATAGGCAAAGCATAACACCGGGCAAAATTATTATGCTAAAATTGGTCTTTACATATACAACTTGAAATACTTTTTAAAAGTCTGTTTTCTTCAAATGCAAATTCTCTGAAATTTTAATATTAGAGGAAACATAAACCAGATTATCTCATAGAACTAGTGATACAAACCAAATTAGCAATCAGAGCCTACACATCTTTGTCATGGATGGCAATTGATATATTCATATTAAATCAAAAGAAACTTCCCATGGTAGAAGAGGGATTGCATTGATTAGGATAAACATTTGTTGATTAAAGTGGATTTGTTTTTAAAAAGAAACTTAATTGGCATAAAAAAATTGTTTCATGGTGACTATTTTTTCAGTTGATTCAAATCCAGTATGACCGTATCTTTGAAGATACAAATATATCACTCATGCACCAAAAGGAATAAATAGAATTTTTCTTCTTGAATTTCATAAAACTCATTAAACATAGCACAGGTGTTCATCTTAAAAGTTATAGTTAACAATCTCATGCTATAGTGGCTTTAAAAAAGTAAAAGATATGTCTTACCTCTTCCCACTGATGTATGTATCTAATTAATCTTGAAAGTCGTAATAAACGCAAGAGACTGAGAATTTTTGTAAACCTCACAATGCGAAGTGCCCTTGCTGTCTTGTAAACTTCTGAATCCATTCCTTTTTCTACAATGAGGAAGATATAATCCACTGGGATTGATGAGATGAAGTCAACCACAAACCAGCTTTTTAAATAATTCATCTTGATCACTTTAGGGTCCAGGATGATTTCAGAACTGTCTTCATTGACAGTACCAGTCCTAAAATTCATTATCAGGTCCAAAAGGAAAACTGTATCTGAAGCCACATTGAAAATAATCCATGGTGTTGTTGTTTGTTCTGTAAAGAATGTGATTCCAACTGGTATGATGACCAGGTTTCCAACCATCATTATAAGCATTATTAAATCCCAATAAAACCTACAACAAATAAAAAAATGAGATTTTAAGACACAGACAATAACCATTCTTCCCCCATCTTAAAAAAAAAATTACTGACTTATGGTTTAATAAATGAGTAAAATAACAAAGTGTTTGTTTTATAACGAAGGTAACTCCTTCAATGGTTATAAATTTAAATCTAAATAAAATTAATATATTTCTAAAGCAAATCATTGTGTTTACAGAATTCTAAAAATTATTTGATATATAAAGTGTTACTGAAATAAGTTCAAGAAGACAGATCCCCCATTTATCCAGTAAAAAAAAGCGAAGACAACCTCCTCCATGTTAACATGTAATATATACTGAAATAAAGGAGACGTATCAGACCAGCAGATTTACACCAAAAAAAAAAAAAAAAAAAAAATTTGTGAAGATTCTTTAGAGATGCTTTGAAGTACTTTATATGTCAATTACCCATCAATCACCGATTAAAATAAAGAGTAAAATACTAAAAATATTGGTACTATAAATTATCTCTAAGAATACAGATTCGGTCAATCATAAATTGCAGGCTAGCCCATGGCTTCATAGCACTCCAAATATTTATGCTTTCTTCTTTTTTAGTTTGAAGTGAGAAAACTAATTTTGTTCTGAGGCTAAAAATAACCGAACAGACCACTCTAAATTTTAAACTAGAATCTATCCAAAAATTTTTTTATCACTGTTTCATTGAACAGCTACTTCAAATATATTCCCACTGTTTTCCCAAATAATTCTTTTTTTTTTTTAAGATTTTATTTATTTTTTGATAGAGAGACAGCAAGAAAGGGAACATAAGCAGAGGGAGTGGAGAGGGAGAAACAGGCTTCCTGCTGAGCAGGGAGTCCAATGCTGGGCTCCATCCAATGACCTGAGCTGAAAGCAGACACTTAATGGACTGAGTCATCCAATGCCCCAATGATGTAAATTTCTATGACAGAAATTTCTGTTAACCAAGATCTCTTTATTTAACATTACTTCCTCTACATAGACCAATTGGGGTACAATTTGCATAATCCTTTCAAAATTACTATCATCCCTGGTTATGAATGACTTGGGATAAAACTAGTTGCCTAAGAAAGAACTATAATAGGCCTTCTCTCTCCTTGTCTCCACCCTCCCAGGATTATGTAAAAAGCAAATGTTTCTCATTTTGAAGATTTTACCAGTCTTTGTGTCAAAACGTACCTACACAATTATGCACACATATACAAATACCCATGTCAATCATACATCATGCACTGTCAATTTCAATGACGTATTTTCTCTTTTCTTCCCCTCCTCTTTTAATGGAAATACACAATGTGCCATTTAATACACCAAGGACAGAGGAAGGATGTAGAGGAGATGAAATATTGTAATAGCTATTTCACAGAAAGTGACATCATCAAACTATAAAAATGGAACCATGTGTGCCCTGAGGATTTTCACTTTTCTGGACACTCTTATCAGTCTCTTCTGTGAGCTCATCTCTCTGCCCTCCACTTGAAGGATGCCGTTCCCCTGGGTGTCCCACATAGTCCTTTTTACTTCTATTCTACACATGCTCTTTGAGCAGTATCATACACTCATCTACATATTTATGATTAATTCATAACCGATGACTCCAAAAGCTCCACCTCTGGTCCATTCCTGTCTAACCTCCTAATCAGCAGCCTATTGAATCTAGCCCCAAGCAAATCTGACACTCACGTCACAGCAGGCATATGCTCAAGCTCATCATCTCCCTTCTTGTATAGATTTCTCACATATTCCCTATGCCAGGGAATGGAACAACTCTATACTTTATTTGCAAGCCAGAAACCCTGGAGCAATCCTAGAAAACTCCTGGCCTTAAATCTACTCAATCTCACATTCGGATCAGTCCCCAAGACTGTTTGGTTCTAACACCGACGTGTGAGTTGTATTCATCCATTTGCCCTTTACAATTCCCACTGCAACTATCTTCAACTAGAAATCCTTACCAGCTGTTTAATTTGGAGACAAGTTATTTAAATTCTCCAATCCTAAATTTTTTCGTCTGTAAAATGAAGATTATTATGGAACCAAATGTGTAGAGTTTTACAGATTAAATGAAATAATATATGCAAATCATATATCCTAGTATATAACAAATCATGGCACACAATGCTGGTGGCCTACTTAGTATTCATTTACCTTCCCATACCAAAAGAAAAACAATTCTGCAGTGACAGCCAGAAGCCCATTGAAAAAATACTCACTTTTACAGATATCCTTACATTTCTCTCATTAATACAGAAGATATTTTTAAAGAAAAAAAATATCCTATCCCTCTTACTCAAAAGAAATGAAGAGGATAAAGTGGCATTTATTCATTCTTGGAGCAATAATTTTTATCACACCATAGCTTTTTATTAGTGGTACTTAATATGGTCTGAAGCCATCAGAAATCTCATTATCAATATAAAGCTCCATTAAATCTTATAATTTCCTTTTAAAGTATCACTGACTCTCTTTTACAGACATAAACACAGATCTTGTTATAGACTTTGCATAATATAACACTTTCTTCAGTTAACATGGATTCATTCCTTATCTAGCCAAGGAAAATACAGTTGTCACCCACTCTCAAAGTATGATATAACTTCTGTTTTTTAAGCAAAGAATATGTTCCTGAAAATTGACCTCATGAGACTCTCTTGCCTACCTGCCCACAAGTTTCTTTTCTTGACTCTTTGCTCTGAAAATGTCTCTTGAATACGGAAGTTCATTCTTTCTTAATTTTTAATATCTAAGTCTTATACATGTTAATATGGAATAGTCTTTCCTATTCATTCCTCTTTCTATTCCCAGTTATCTAGTTTGGGCAGAACTAGTTCTTGCTTAGAATAGCTCAAGTCTCCGGTCTATGGAATCTGACCAATTTTTACCCATCAGTCCCAGAGTGTTATGTTACCTAACACATAACTTTCCAGGTCAACAAACATCTATGACTCTCTTAATTAAGTAAAAATAATTGAGCCTGATTTTCAAGGCACTTTAAAATATAGCCTTCTCCCTTCTCAGCCTCTTCTTAACCACTGTATGTAAGAACATCATATCTTAAGCAAGAGAGAACTTACTCTTACCTTGCCATCATGCTCACCTAGGTAATTGTATAGGAAATGTAGTTTCTTCCAGTCTATTTATTCATTTTCCTATTAGTACTCTACCTACCCTTCAAGCCTTGTTGTAATACTAAGTTTCTTAGTTTTTGGTTTTTTTTAGCCACCCCCAGAGCAATATATACTTTCAGCATGCTTCTTATTTTATTTTTCCTTTTGTTACTAATTATCTATTTTTGATTCCTCCATCATTCCTGGATTTAAATTCTTCTTATAAAATTTTTATTAAGCTTTTAATTTCAATTCCAGTATATTAACATACAATGTTATATTAGTTTCAGGTGTACAATATAGTGATTCAGTAATTCTATACAGTACTCATGGATATAAGTTCTTTGAAGTTCAAAACTGTACTTTCATATTATGTTTAGCTTCTACAGTAATGTAGACAATATCTAGGATAACAAATGTTAAGAAGACGTATTAATTAAGTTTTTAATGGAAACATACACTTCAGTGGGTATATTTAAAGAAATCCTGTTTAATAAGATGATAAGTCATTAATGCATTAAATAATTTCTTAACTTATCCTTTATGTAACTCTGGATTTTTCTAATTGAGGGCTTTTATAACATAGGAGACAATGTAACAAATTAAAAAGGAAACAGAGATTAGGAATATGGTCTGAGGTTAAAGAGCCAGAAAATGAAGCAGTTTTGGATTTGACACTTGGTTTCACATATTATAAAATCCATCTTCTTCTATTCATCCTGCTTTAGAGAGACAATATTTGTATAGGACCTTGGTTGGACTTTAAAGGCAGACTAGTGTTCAAATCTCAGTTCCACTAGCTGTATGGGTTTGGGCAAGGTATTTAACTGCCATGAACTTCAATTTTCTTCTACTACTGAGTTTCTCTGCAGGAAAACTTCAGGCAATTATGTATGCAAAGAGTAGTGTACAGAACCTGTTATACAGAAAGTTTCTCTGAAAAACCAGGAAAGCAAGGACTCCTGGGTGGCTCAGTCAGTTAAGCTGCTGCCTTTGATTCAGGTCATGATCCCAGGGTCCTGGGATCAAGTCCTGCATTGGGCTCTTTGCTCAGCAGGGAGTCTGCTGCTTGTGCGTGCTCGCTCTCTCTCTCTAATAAATAAATAAATAAAATCTTAACAACAACCCCCCCCCCCAAAAAAAAAAAACCCAGGAAAGCAGACAGGGCACTAAGAAGCAAGTCTTGAGAATTACAGTAATTATCTAAGCATTTTTGCCTTATACTGAAAGTGGATGAAATAGACAAAATAAAATAGCCTTTCAATTATAATTAATGTATCACTAATAACTATACTTTAACTACTAATAAAATAATTACTTTTCTTGACAAATTTTTTTTAATGTTAAGAATCCATTTCCCCCCATGAGTTTTTAGAAGAGAAAAAAATAGCATTGTAAAGATTGGTCCATGATATTAAACTCTGAGGACTGAAAATTCAATCTTGCTTCTTTCTTTCTTTCTACCCACTTGCGTACCTCTAAGGCTTGTGGTAAACAAGACAGCCCCCACTGACCTAACAAGAGTTCCCATGATCCTTCAGGTTTCCTACCTCCCTATAATGGCTGCACTAGTTGAAATAATCTGATGCCAAATATTTCTAACTTAGAGCCTTAAATTTAAAAACTACCATATTTCGCTGCTGGAGGTGCTGCTGTTAAATCTGTCTGTCTAATATTGAATGAAAGATTTTCTTCTTCACCTTTACGATGAAATATTTTTGTTAAGTGGAATGGAAGAAAGAACTTCTGGTTAAATCCTTGAAATGATGCCAGATTTACACGTGGCTACTATTTTACCTACGCTTGAAGTCAAATTATGCAACAAACCTGTCTGTCCTACTGTTCACTTAAGACTTGCTGTTAAAAATTATGTTTTTAGAT